TCTGAATGGGCATACATTTTAATTTATCTGAAATGTAATTGTTGAATTGTATGGTCATTGCATGTTTAGTTTTATCAGAAACTACCAAACTGCTTTCCAGAGTGGCTGTAAGATTTTACCTTCCCAGCAGCGCTTAATCAGACGTCCAGTTTCTCTGCATCCTTGTCACCATTTGGTGTTGTCACTATGTCTTTTATTTTAGCTATGGTAATAAGTGTGTAGTGATACCACATCGTGGTCTTAATTTGCATCTAGTGAAGCAAATTAGTGTTGAACATCTTTTCATGTGCTTATTTGCTTATTTCCTCTTCAGTGAAATGTATGTTCATATCTTTTCATGATTTTCTAATTGGATTATTTGTTTGTATTTTTTACCATTGAGGTTTTTTTATTATTATTATTTTTCTTGAGACAGAGTCTTGCTGTGTTACCCGGGCTGGAGTGCAATGGCATGATCTTGGCTCACTCCAACTCTGCCTTCCAAGTTCAAGCGATTCTTGTGCCTCAGCCTCCCGAGTAGCTGGTATTATGGGAAGGCATCATCATGCCTGTCTAATTTTTGTAGTTCAGTAGAGATGGGTTTTTTGCCATGTTGCCCAGGCTGGTCTTGAACTCCTGGCCTCAAGGGATCTGCCTCCGTCCACCTCGACCTTTCAAAGTGCTGGGATTACAAGTGTGAGCCACCACACTCAGCCTACCATTGAGTTTTGATAGTAGTTTACATATCCATTATATATTCTGGATGTGAGTCCTTTCTTGGATATGTGGTTTGCAAACATTTTCTCCCAGGTCATACCCTATTTTTTAATCCTTTTAACAAGATTTCTTGCAGAGCACAAGTTTTAAACTGGATGAAATCTCATTTATTTTTTTCCTTATGGTTTATGCTTTTTGAACCGTTCACTATGCCCTAGATCTCAGACGTTTCTTCTATATTTTCTTGTAAAAGTTTTCTTTTAGTTTTATATTTTTTAGATTTAAACCTATGATCCACTTGAGTTACTTTTTTGTATAAAGGTATGAAGATTAGGACTTTTTATTTTTTATTTTTTATTTTTTTGCCTATGGCTCTACAACAGCTCCAGCACCATTTGTTAAGCAGACGATCCTTCCTTCTTTTTGTCTCTTTCTAAAAAATCAGTGTGGGGTTATTTCTAGGTTCTTTGTTTTGTTCCAGTGATCTATGTGCCTATTCTTCTCCCAATACTACACAGTCTTGATTCCTGTAGCTATATAAAAAGTATTGAAATATGATAGAGCCATTCCTCCCACCTTATTCTTCTTTTTCAAAAATTGTCTTAGCTATATAAATATTTTTTGAGATGGAGTCTCACTTGGGTCGCCCAAACTGGAGATCAGTGGGGTGATCCCAGCTCACTGCAACCTCCACCTCCCAGGTTTAAGTGATTCTCCTGCCTCAGCTTCCCGAGTAGCTGGGATTTCAGGCACACGCCACAACACCCAGCTACTTTTTGTATTTTTAGTAGAAATGACGTTTTGTCATGTTGGCCAGGCTGGTCTCGAACTCCTGACCTCAAGCGATCCGCCCATCTTGGCCTTCCAAAGTGCTGGGATTACAGACATGAGCCACCACTCCCAGCATTGTCTTAGCTATTGACAATTTGTTACAACAACAATCAAAAATTAATATACATAGAAACAGATTAGTGAAACAAAATAGAAAGTCAAGAAACAGACTAATTTTTATACCAACTTCAGCATGCATTTCCAAACAGTGGGCAAAAGATGGGTTGTATAATAAAGGATTGTTGACAAGTGTATAACCATTTGAAAACATAAGATAAATCCTTACTCTGAACCACATAAAATAATAAATTCTAAAAATTCAGAGATGTAAATGTGAAAATGTGAAGTCATAAAGAACTAGATGAAAATTTAGGAAAATATTACAGTGTAAGACATCTTGAGTTGGCATAGGCACTTCCTGACATTACAGCAAGGCTATAAACAATGAATCAGACATAGTTAAAGATATAAAAATTAAAGTGTCATCTAAGTCAAAAGACACCATAAACAACCTTTTAAAAAGGCAAATTTTAGGCCAGGCGCAGTGACTCACACCTGTAATCCCAGCACTTTAGGGAGCTGAGGAGGGCGGATCACGAGGTCAGGAGATCAACACCATCCTGGCTACCATGATGAAACCCCATCTCTAATAAAAACACAAACAAGTAGCCAGGCGTGTTAGCACGCACCTGTAGACTCAGCTACTCAGGAATCTGAGGCAGTAGAATCGCTTGAACATGGGAGGCAGAGGTTGTAAATTTAAAAGGAAGGAGGTGATTTCAATAAGCAATGGTGAGGAGAAAAATAGTACAATTTATTGAAAGGTGTAAAGTTTAGATTGTAAATTTTAAAAGTTATAGTCTTGAACTAAAACTGCAGGTATTATAAACATGGAAGATGGGAGGAGGGACAGGAAAGAAAAGAGAAGTTATTTTACTGTTCAAGGAATGGATATAGATACTAATGAATGATAGAATAGTAGAATGGTTAAAAACACTAGCATTTTATTTTGTTTTATTTTAGACAGGGCCTCACTGTTGCCCAGGCTAGAGTTCCATAGCACAATCATGGCTCACTGTAGCCCCAGCCTCCTCAGCTCAAGTGATCCTCCTGCCTCAGCCTCCCATGTAGCTAGGACTACAGGTGTGCACCAGCACCCCTGGCTAATTAAGGTTTTTTTTTTTTTTTTTTTTGGTAGAGACAGGGTCTTACTATGTTGCCCAGGCTGATTTTGAACTCTTGTCCTCAAGCAATGCTCCCACCTCCGCCTCTCAAAGGGGTGGGATTACAGAAGTGAGTCACTGCCCAGTTAATGCTAGTGTTTTAGAGTACAAACTCTGGAGCCAGACAGCTCAGGTTCAGTTTCTGGCTTCTCAACTTACTAAGCTGTGTGACCTTGTATAAGTCATATAACCTTCCTGTGTCTCAGGCTACTCAAGAGTAAACTGGGGATAACTACATTATCTAACTCATTTGATTGCTATGATTAAATGGGGAAATACATGTAAAGCACTTAGAATAGCACCTCTCATGTGGTTAAGTGATATATATATTTTAGTTGTTGTTAGTAATGACTTCAAATTACTTTTAAAATGTAAAAGCATATCTGGTTCCAGAAGAAGATGGTGAACCAGCAATAGCTGCTGGCTTCCTTCCCAAACCCAACCCTGCAGATGCCGCAGAAGAGGTGGGAAGTGGTTGGAGTTCAGAACAGTTCCCAGTAACAAAACCCTTGATGGTTTGGCCCCACTGGGGGATGAGATGGCTTAGAGTGGGAAAAAGTCAGAGGCCACAGATAGAGGATCAGCCCAGGTGGAGCTTTCTAAGTTGCATTATTTTTTGTCCTTCTTTTCTGGAAGACTTATTACCTGTTCTATGAATATATAGAGCAGACACTTGGCAGGGCAGACCCAGTGCTAACCCAAAGTGGTGTGATAATATTAAGGAATGGGGGCTTGGAAAGCTCCTAGAAAAAGTGCAGACTCATCAAAGCTGGCCAGTAACTGAGCATTCCATTCCTACCTCTCCCTCTGACCTCTGAGCTGGGCAGTTACAACCAATATCATGCACCTGTAGATTCCCTCCACACTGTAAGGCAGAAATCCTGTAAGGGTCTCTGGGGGCTCATAGGCTGGGGACTGGAAAGAAGAGTTGACTCAGCTCAGCTCTAGAGGCTCTGTACTCTAAGTCCTTTCAATCCAGAAACCCTGAAACTCATGTGGAGTTTCTGGGCTGACACATCTTCCCAGGAACAAAGAGTTATATAGAAAAACTATCGCATAGGCCAGGTGTGGTAGCTTACGCCTGTAATCCCGGCATTTTGGAAGGCAGAGGCGGGAGGATAACCTGAGGTCAGGAGTTTGAGACCAGCCTGGCCAACATGGCGAAACACTATCTCTACTAAAATTACAAAATTAGCTGGGCATCATGGTGCATGCCTGTAACCCCAGCTACTCAGGAGGCTGGGGCAGGAGAATCACTTGAACCTGGGAGGCAGAGGTTGCAGTGAAGTGAGATCACACCATTGCACTTCAGCCGGGGCAACAATAGTGAAACTGTCAAAAAAAAAAAAAAAAAAGGCCAGGCACGGTGGCTCATGCCTGTAATCCCAGCACTTTGGGAGGCTGACGTGGGTGGCTCACCTGAGGTCACGAGTTTGAGACCAGCCTGGCCAACATGGTGAAACCCCGTCTCTACTAAAAATACAAAATTTGCCTGGCATAGTCTCACACGCCTGTGGTCCCAGTTACTCAAGGGGCTGAGGCATGCTTGGACTCAGGAGGCAGAGCTGCAGTGAGCAAGATAGAGTCACTGCACTCCAGCCTGGGTGAAAGAATAAGACTCTGTTTCAAATAAATAAATAAAAAGAAAATCTATTGGATAGATTGGATATGAAAACATTAACTGCTCAAATGAATAATTCAGTGAAATAGGTTGGATATTAAAATGGATAGAGTTGAAAAAGCAATTACTGACCTGAGGAAATGAGTCTAAAGCATTCATAAAAGTAGACCGGGCGAGGTGGCTCACGTCTGTAATCCCAGCACTTTGGGAGGCCGATTAACCAGGCATGGTGGTGGGCGCCTGTAGTCCCAGCTACTCGGGAGGCTAAGGCAGGAGAATGGCATGAACCCGGGAGGTGGAGCTTGCAGTGAGCCAACATTGTGCCACTGCAGTCCAGCCTGAGTGACAGAGCGAGACTCCGTCTCAAAAACTCCAACAAAAATAAAAAAATAAAAAAAAGAGACCAAGACTTTTCAGCGCCCAAACCCCACAGCCCCAGACCCATTAGTCGCCCCTGAGAAGGGGTGGAGACGGCCCCTCGCTGTCTCTTTGCAACAGAAACTTGCCCTGCACCTGTAAAAGCCCCTGACTACTGGTGCTGGTAACCATGAAATGAAAGTCACGGCATTCAGCAGTGGCGTGGAGATCACCTATTTCTCCATCGAAGATAGAAAAAGCAAATTAGGAGCATGTACGAGAAGGTGCACCAGTGCCAACCGGACCTCTGGTTGAGCGCACCCAGACACGCCTCACCTGTCATAGGAGAGGGCTGTGCCCCTCCCTTGCCCTTCAGGCCTGGCTCTGGCACTGTGAAGAACGCCCTATTCACAGGCCGCACAGCCCTCAGCAGTCGCTTTCTCTATTTTGATCTTTGGGCAAGAGAGCCTGAAGTGGAGCACATCCTCTCAGGCAGGAACAGCAACGGTAACCAGCGGGCAAGAAGCAGAGCCTCGCAAGAAGTATGCCATCCTGAGCGAAGCTAAGTGGAAGCCAGGCCCCGGACCCGGGTGCACTGGCGGGCTTCCTGCCAGCCCAGCCCTGCCTCCCCGGTCTCCCACGCTCGTCTCAAGCCTACTGTATAAACCAGCGGACCTCCAGGCCCATCGGGGTGAGGGCTCTGGGAGAACAAGACCCCCACGCTCAGTCTGTCTGCTGTGAGGCCCCGCAACAGACTGTTCCAGGTCAAGGTCTTGGAAAACCTCGGTTTCCGCAATACACGAGCGCTCATCCTCTCGCGGCCCAGTTAAACGCTCAGCTGACTCAGGGCTCCCACACGAAGGAAAGAATGTTCTCCAAGGGGGTAGCCCAGAGATAGGTGCCAGTAAACCCCAGGATGCTCAAGATGGGACTGAACTTGTGGTCTCCTAGCCCTTCCTGGCGTGGGGGGAGGCTCAGGTCTATGCCCTAGGGGAGAAACACAGCAAGAACAGAACAGTGAACGAGGCAGAGAGAAAGGCCAAAGACAGGGAAGACGAGAGCAAAGGGAGAAATGGAGAGGAGGAAGCAAGGAGACAGAGCGAAGACAACAAGTGACGGGCAAGGGAGAGGGTAAGAAAGAAGATGGAGGAGGGAAGAAGGAGAGAGGAAGAGTAGCAATAAACAAGAGGAGGAGGAGGGAAGGGAACAAGGAAAGGGGAAGTGGGAGGGGAACAAGTAAGCGGAGCGGAGGGGAAGGGAAGGGAAAGTAGAAGGAGGGTGGGCAGGAAAGAAGCAAGTGGGGAGTGAGGAGGAATGAAGAGGGTGACGGGGACAGAAATCACTGAGGGGATCTGCTGAGGAAGATGGGGAAATCGTGCAGGCTGGGAGACTGAATGACAGAGTGCTCACACCCTAGGGACTTCAGGTGAAGACGCCAGCTGAAAG